TAAATTTGTGAACCTCGTTCCAATTTACAATTTCTGCATTCTCTTCTATCTGCTCGATCCACTTCCTTATATTGGACGTGTCAGTACCATCAAAAGTTGAAAGGCTTTCCTGGATATCTTTAAAAGTGAAGTGTGCAGTGCTTACAGGTGTAGTTGATGGTCTAGCTGCGAATTCAATTGCGGATTGGTTTGACTGGAAATCACCGTCTTCATCTTCGTCGTCGTCACCGTCGTCAATCAGGCCTAAATGTTGGAGAAGTCTTTCCCTAAGTTCATGCTTACGTCCAACTAATCCTAACCCCAACTCCCTTAACTTTTCCTTCAAAGTCATTACAGTCATTTTTAGGACAGCGTCCGCGTCAATGGCATCTGTGTTCATGTTTACAATATTGTATATAATGTACGTATCAATTATATAAAATGTGAATATAAAGATTTAAAAATATGCTTTATCAACGTATAATTATAATGGAGTTGTGTTTTAATGCAATCCAGATCAAGGTTATTGCGGTGGTAGTAGTTCTACGATCAATTCAAACATACGAAAACAATTTACAATGCCTTGAGTAAAATTTACATTATCGACAAATAACGCATAATAGACATAAATAGGTATTTTAATACACCTTAATCAATATGAAATCGTATTGCGAGAGTTAATAATCAATCAATTCGAACATCAATTCAAACATAAAAGATACTCTGCAAACATATTCTAAACGGAAATTACATTTAATAGAAATTTGTTCTTCTTTTATTTATGTTTCTAATTGGTATGCATAAGTATGTATGTTTGTTTGCGTATTCCGATAGTGTAACTTACACGCTACGTTTATATGTACGTGTTCACTAAAGACTTTTACTTCTCAAATATACACACTACATACATACGCATATATGCACGAATTTCCAATTAGAATTTTGCTCTTATAACATACACACTGATTTATCTCCTACTGCGTTCGAGTTTCTATTTTTCATTTATCATGAACATTGCTTTATCCTGTTTGCGAATTTCTAATTAGGTGCGTGTTCTTCTTAAAATTACAAACACTGCTTTATCCCTTTCGTATGGGAATTTTCGATTAGATTCTTGTTCTTTTTTCTAGCACGTAACTTCTCTATTTAACATCTTTATTTACCTTCTCTTTTCAACATCTATTTTATTTATTACTTAACTTCTTTACCTTATGTTCGTCTTCTCTTCGAATTTAGATCACCTTAATTTCTTTTCATTTATCTCAACTTCGCCTTCTTCTCGTTTATTTCGTCTTCGCCTTCTCACTGCTCTGCTTTCGTTTCAACTCCTCTGACTGTAATACACTCTGCTGTCGACGGTGAAGTATGCAATTTTGCTCTGCTTGTACCAACTTGTGTGTGGAAGTAGCCTTCTCTGCTGAAA